CACCAACACACACACACACACACACACACACACACACACACACACACACACACACACACACACACACACACACACACACACACACACACACACACACACACACACACACACACACACACACACACACACACACACACACACACACACACACACACACACACACACACACACACACACACACACACACACACACACACACACACACACACACACACACACACACACACACACACACACACACACACACACACACACACACACACACACACACACACACACACACACACACACACACACACACCACAACAGTCATATACAACCCCACTACTACCCCACGTTGATTGAGGCGCGACCAAGACAGTCTATTCCATCAGTTGTTGTGGCATCAGGGTGCATCATTGTGGAAAAGGTGCTCTGGCTGCGCTCCCTCCTCACACACCATCTCGTTTGCAGGGGTAATAAATGTAGGTAAGACTAAGGTAATAACAGAAGAAGAGTATTTTTCCGAGCGAACGCATAGCTCGGAATGCGCTACGGTTCCATAATGGTCGGAGTGATAAGATCAGTGTGATTGTCGGCTTCAGTAGATTTTTCGCGTTGAAACAATGGCAAACCGTCAACGTTTAGCCTGATGCTGCTTTAAAATAATTCTTCTAAGAAACAATTACGATGAACAAATTGCTTTATCGTTCAGATGTTGGGAATCAAAATTATTTTGAATAGGATCGACCTAAACCGGTGGGCGATTGTTTTTCTGATCATATTTCTATTACGGTCGAATCGCGAATCGCTGAATCCACCGAGCTAACTGTAAATCAATGAGTATTTCTTGCTACTTTCAACTGGCTAACATGGGATGGGTACTGTACCCCCGAATGCAGCTATCCGTGAATGCTTAGGATGTTTTGGAACAGTTGCAATTCACTATTTCTGTCCATTCATTCTGGTTTTCCCACTTGCACGTAACAACCACGGGAGGTTTTTTTTTCGGATTGCCATGTCAATCTGCTAAATGAAACCAATTTCAGGTCCACGGTTAGCACCGCTTCCGATTCCCCATTCCAGTGATTCACTCGAGTCGGAAAGCGACGAATTGCTACCCGTTTCGGGCAGTAATCATTCGCTGCAATTAAGGGAGCGCTCAACGGAAAAGAGTGCGTGATTGAATTGATCTTGTTGAGGGTTCCTAGTGCTTTAGCAACTAATATTTTGTATGATTTGAGCATCGGGCACTACTGTCATTCACTTTCCTCATAACGGATGTATAACATTTTCTCCTTACTTTTGCTCTGTATATTTGCTAACATTAATTAGTGCCCAACGCTTGCGATTTTTTTTTCGCACCTTTATGTGCATATAACATCCGGGTCTTCATGTGATATTTACTCATTAAAATTTGATGATGTGAATGAAGATGTCAATAAAATTTTACAATCAGGTGTTGAGACTCAGAGAATGTTTCTGTTAAGGAACGAAATGCACAATTACTCAATATCTCTACAACGCTGTAAAGATATTGAGTAATTGTGTGATTTTGATTTTATCTGCGTGCATTGGAGCTAGGTCAGGCACGTTGCTGGAAGAATGCTTAAAATCGACCTGCCGCTCTACGATGAGGGGCGAAGAGAGAGAACCTTCGCCCCAGTGTTGGGGAATGCAAGGTTGCCGTGCCGCCGCTTTGGAGGTACAGTTGATATCACCGCAATCAGTCGTTGCAAACAGCGGGCACCACCTTTGTTTTCCACTACTGCTTGTTTTCTTCCTAAAGATCTTTACTCGATTACCATTGGTAGAGCGCAAGGCAGCCTGGGGCGGGGTCATCCCGCCCACCTCCTGCCACCCCAGACTGATTGTTACAAACTATGTGTGCACTTCATGTCCAAGAGATGGGGAAGGCGTGGTTGCGCACCCC